CTGCTGAAACCAGTGGGAATTAGGGACATAGAGTTAAACTTCTGGATCTGGGTGATTTTCCTTTAATGATGATAAATACTGTATTGTCAACACTAATTTTATTTCAAGTTAGTGCGGCAAGGACAAGTCAGCACAGACATACAGGACCAGATCTTCAGCTGGAGTTCCTGCTTGTCTGGCTGCAAGGACATGAAGCACCTGAAAAAACTTCAGGTGAACACTGCAGAACAGAACCATTGCCCATACATATGTGGAAACAGTAGTTCCTCATAGCAGAAAAAGTGCTGCTGAAGCTACCTGCACCCAGGCAGGCCTTAAGTCAGCATTCAGAAATTGCAGCACTTTCTGAAATTACGTGAGGGTCTACCTAAAGGAGGAGCAGAGAATGTGAAGGACTGTGGAGGATTGTGTGAATGAGTGTGTATGTGTGCTGGCCGTGTGTGAAAAGAAGAGGTTTCTCAATAGAAACATCCACCCTGGGGCTGGCTGCTGGAAGCTGCGACATGAGTTATGCTACTGATCAGTCTTTACGGTCAGCTGTGTTGTACCCTGCACAGGCTCAGGGTGAAGGGCACTTGTTACACTTAGGTCCCACAATGCTAATAACGCGTTCATGTGTGATAGCTGTAGTGAAAGACTTACTGGTAGCAAGTGCCGGTCCTTTACCGTGTGCCTCTTTTGACTGCAGATCACAGGGAAGGGAGGAAAGGGGGGAGCCACCACAGCGATGGGACCTTGGACTTTTTGCTCTCTGTTATCACCTCGGCTTCGATGTTCTGATTGGAGGAGAAAGAAGACATGAGTCTTTTAGAGCGTTAAAAATATATGAATGTTTCTATTAACAGTATAGCACACACATCAACAGGACGTGGACTCCAAAGATGAGTCCCCATTGACCAGTACCTATGATCCCTGTTCCAACTGAAGGGTAAAAGCACTTATTGGACATACAAGCCCCTGGAAAAGCAATGCTCATACAACACACTCCAGTATCTGCACTGAAGCTGAATTCATGGATGGGATTTATACTCTTTATCCCAAATGACAAGGAGCCACCTTCCAGGTGCTTGAGACTGAAGGCCTGATTACCAATGGGAACCTGCAGCTCCTGTTGCCTCGAAACGTCAAGATGCAGTAACACCTGCACTCTACCCACATAAAATATACCCCTCTGAGAGGAAAGAAGGAAATACAGCCCCAGGTAAGATTTCCTTCCCTGGCTGCATGGCAGCACCAGGTTCTGAGCATTGACTTGACATCATGAAAGTTGTTGCAGCAGCCCTGCTCTGTGCCCTGGCATGGAGGAGATCATTCTGGAAAAATCAGGATCTCTCCACCCCAGGCCCAGAGAAGTCTTCCTTCCCTAAGGGCTCACAATATTCAGTTCTCTTCCAGAATCAGTCCCAAATCTCTGATACTTTCCAAGTGAATGGGAGAATGCTCATAGACTTCCCATCTCTAATTTTAGGTGAGTCAGATAATTACTGTTTGCATGAACTGCTGCTGGAAGGGAGTGATGAGTTCACCTGATGCACATAGCTACAGTCCAGCCAACAATGTTTGCTGCTAGCATAGCTATTTTCTGATCTAACATGTAGTTTTAATTACTCCTGGTTAAATAGATAAAGAGAGACTGAAATTCTGATAGAAGGAATAGGTAAGACACAATAAACATGTTTAGGATACATTTCCGATTATAATTTCACTCCAATACATGCAGTAACTTGGAAAATAAAATAAAGCAGCACATGCCAAGCCACTTGCTGAACCTGGACAGCTGCCGTTAAACGCCAAGGATGGGCAGTTGCCAAAACTGAGATTTGACTTGAAAATGATGAGGCATTTTCTGACAGCTGCCTTCCCACGCTGCTGTCAGGATGTCTCCTGCCCACAAGATGGCAGGCGGAGATCAGCCTAGGCCGGGGACAACTGCAAAGCAGAACAGAAAAGCCAACTCCTGCTCTAACACTCCTGTGCTTGCAATCAGGCGGTATCGCTCTTTGCAGTGCTATGAAGACATACTGCACCTACAGCGTGTTCCTGTGCTAAAATTTGCCGAGAGGCTAAAATGCAGTAATTAATTGGAACATTTTATCCAGCTAGCAGATGCTCTGCAGATCCAGTAATCAATTATTGTTATAACCTGATAACAATAATAAATGAGCAAGGCAATGGTAGCTGTTTGTGCAAAACACTTCCAACACAGGAGTGCTTGGAAACCCCATGCAGATAGCTCAGTTTCTGTGGAGACTCTGTAATAACACTGGGCTCCAGGTTTAGCCCCTTTGGGGTCAGTGCATGGATTTGCTCACACAGTTCAGTCTTACCCATTTTAATAGAAAAACATATAAACAAAGAATATAAAGAGGAAAAGTGAAAAGTTGCTGGGAGGGGACCATGGTGAGGTGTCACCAGCATGGAGATGAAGCTGGAGCATGTCCAAGCACCTACCTCTGCGCAAGGCTCGCAGGTGCTGCTTGGCGTGGTGGTGCAGCTCCTCCACGCAAGGCGGTCTGGTGGAGGGGAGGAAGATGTTTCTTTGCTGATGCCAAGGCGCTCGGTAATAGACACTCAGTTTGCTCTCTGCATCCAGATTGGAGACAGCTGTAAGATAAAACCAGAATGCAAGGTAAGACTCCTAGCATCTCTCATATCAACCTAGCTGAAAAGCCAAAGGCTCTTGCTTGGAACAGCAGTGCCAAGAACGAGCACTGGGGATGTCACAGCACCTCTCCTCCCACCAAATTACAGCAACCATTATCTTCTCTGTATTTCAATACCACTTCACATTTAGACAATGTCTTTTTGCCAGATAGAAAATGGTTGTACGGAGGCAGGTAGGTGCAATGATACTGTATCAGTGTTAAATATATGGACTAAAGGGATAGTAATTTTACAGACAGCAAAATGAAAATGCAAAGAACCTAAGGAAATTTCTGAGGGTGACATTCCGTGTACCAACAGAGAGAAGAACGGGTCCCCCATCTACCCATTCTCACTGCCAACAAGCACTTTCACTACATCATGTTACACACAACCGATTCCTGACACAGGTCACTAGCTCATTGCCTTCCAGCATGTAACGACTGAGATTAACTGCCTGCCCTGCCGAGCCACTGCAACTGTCACCTATCAAAAGAGGTCCCCTTAATAGACAGGGAGTTCTGAGGGACAGGAAAACTTCAGTTCCTCTACAGAGAAATCCCAGAAATCTACCCCTGAAAGTTAGGTAAACCAAGTTCACTAAAGGTTTGAGAGAATTTTTCGGGAGCACTGGGACTAAGTGATACAAACTGATACAAATGGTCATCTCCTCTTGTAATGCCAAGGAGCTGCCACAGCTGTTCTGCTTACAGGACAACACAATGCAATTCAGGCATGCCTCCTGGTGCATTGGAGGGAGGATGGTGGAGGGATCTCCTGGGATTCCCTTCTCAGCAAGAAGCCAAACAGCCAGCATGCCTCAGGTTGGTCCCCTCACTGGCCACCTGCTCCTCTCCTTTGACAATAGGTATTTTTTACCACTTGAGGTAACCGCAGCCCTGAGTCCTTGCGGCAGGGCCCTCAGCATTTCTGCTAGAGAAGAAGGTGCAGGCCGCTGTTGTGGGACATCACTGAGGGGGAGGCCAAGCCAGAGAAAGGGGTTGGCAGCAGGATGTCCAGGATGTCCACAGCAGTATGTTGTCTCCAGCCAAGGAACTAGCACATTTTGGGGCTCCCATCTATTTTCTGTGCTTTTGCACACTCTGATCTGCAGCAGCAGTTGCCTTTTTCTGAGGAGGAGTCAGTGCAACATGTCAAAGAGCTGCTCTCTGGTGGAGATGCTTTGCTCTTGGTTTTGTTGCTTACTTTATTGTAAAACAATACTCACTTGGGCTGAAATAATCCCAGTGCTTTGTATAGCGAAAAGAACTGGGAAAGTACAGTAGGAGAAGAAGAAGGGAGCAGACATAAGGGGAGAAACCCAGGAACCATGCTGCCACGTGTGGGATGCTGACGGACTTTATCAGTTTCTTTGATAAGGAAAAAAACCCAACCAGTAATATGGTCATAGATCTGCTGAAGTTCGGGTTCTCAGAGCACCACTGATGGGACTCTGAACTCTATGCCCAGTAGGCAGCATTGCTTTGCTTCTATGGGTTTTTGCAGATGGGGTTTCACTCAGTTTACAGCATGTTTACAGCATGTTTGCAGTGCTGCTCCATGCATCTGGACATGGTGTCAGTGCAGGGAACAGCACCAGCATGAGAAAAAACTGGTAGATGGAGGGGGGGTGTGTAGGATGAATGATGGCAACCTCTAGGTGCTCATCATGAGGATTTAATAATCAAATTATCAACATGGTAATACCATAATGTTGCCAAATTGCAAGCAGAGCTTTTGAGGGCTTGTCTGTCTGTGACCACTGCAGTAGGTGAATATCTCACTATCATGAGCTGATTTTTACATTTCCTTCACACCTTCAGGGTAAAGAAGCTTTATGTCTCCTACAGACAAGACACCGAGACACAAAGTAACTCTCCCCTTCTGAGCCACACTGCCTCCTTGGGAAGCTCATCTCAGGACAAAAATTTACAAGTGATAGTAATGGTATCCCACCCATTCTTTATATTGCTGAGGATATGTGATATTCATGATCACAAATTGCACCCTGGAGGCTAATGAAACAGCAGGCACAAGCAGTTCCTTCCTACTCCCAGAAAAAAAATATCTAGACTGCAGCTCTAGTAGTTGTCTGTGATGGAGCTCAATAAGTGAGTGGAAAGTTTTACCTACTTATGAAATGTTCAGACATTTCATTAGACTAGAATAGATTTCAGTGCAAAATTTAACTCATAGAGAGTTCTTCTGGCTTTGGAAGCAGTGTTTTGCAGATAAGAAGAGTAGGTGTTGGGTTAATACACTTTGCATGAGACTTAAAAATGAAACCAAGCTAATACAATTCTGCTGCGCACTTGCTGTTGTAGACACACATTGCTGTTCACAGATAAAACAGCATGACCTCTTAGCCATCCAAAAAGTCTCCCTTAGCTGGGAAACCTGTCAGAGCTGTGCACAGTGCTGTACCAGAAGAAAAATTAAACACAAATACATTGCTTATCTTCAAATGATAGGGCACTAAGGAGCTTACAGTACCCTGTGCCTTGGCCCCAGCCAGTACACATCCGTATCTTCTTGTCTTTCCCTGCAGGAGCTCTGATTCTGCGTGCCAGGGAATACGCCTCACTGACACCAAGAAAGCAGAAGTATTGCACAATACGCACTGAACTGAACAGTCCTTTAAAATACTCAAAAGCTGGAGTGGATTTTCTAGGCAGTCCAGAATAGAAACTAAAAGAGCTAGAAAAAAAGCCGTGAGGAGATGCATGTTCTCAGCCTAGGGTGAGGTTGAAGCTCAGAGGGAGGGAGAAGCACTGGGTAGAAGACAATGCTGGCCCAAGGACAAGTATAAACCCGCCACGAATGCAATTAGGCTGGACGTTTGAAGAACAGCATCCCAACCTCAGAGCAGTGAAGCTCTGGAAAAACCTCCCGAAAAGGGAGGGCATGGGCTCCTGGGAGTGGGGCACCACTGCTGGGAGCTGAAGCTAGAGAGAGAGAATGCAGAAGCAGACCATGAGCTTTTAGGATCACTGAAATTCTTTTTTTCTGCACAGGGCTGAATCTCCTACCTCCACTAAAGGAAATAAGCCAACCCTGTGGCAGAGTAACTCAAAGACCGCTGAGCTGAGGCCTAGAAGACCTGTTCAGTGAAAGCTTTGCCATATACTTCTGCCAAGAGCCTGGGTTAAATATTAACACTTCCTATGCCTCGGTTCTGTAAAATGAGAACAAGGTATCTCTTCCAGCCAGCACTTCCATTCACTCAGTGTTTTACTCTGCAGGCTGCTTTTACAATGCTGAGCTTGCACGTGGCTGTAGCCGCTCGGCATCATCATAATATGCATAATAAATAAAGCAATACAGAAACTGGAAAGCCACAGTCTTTAATTATTAACAGCTGGGCACCACAGTGAATGAGAAAAAAAGCCTGTGCAGATATAGGAAATGCTGCATTTCAGGCATGAGATATAGATTGTTAATATATTTTTAGTGTGTGCTTTGACCAATTTAGAATATACAAATGAATCATAAATGATCATGTTCATTTCATTCCCAAGTTAAAGTAATTGGTTTTTTTTGTCTTGTGGGATGACAAAATGACAAGAGACCATTTAAATGGATTCTCCATTACATTCTGTGGATCCATTAACGTTGGCTGGTTTCCTGACAACCAGTGTCAAACAGACATACACTAATGGCTGTTCTCATGAGAAGATTTTTGAAGGTTTCCAAATAGCTGTTTTATCGAAGTTGATCATATTTATCATTTATAAATCTTTCTCATCTTCACATCCTCTCATTCACTCTCCCTTCCTCGTTTAGCAAAGCAGAGTAAGGATCCTGCCATAGCAGAGCTGGATGTGGATGCTTGAAGGTTGTGTGGCTTTAGCGCACTCAGGCGTGGTTGTTCTAATAATAACACCACAAAGGCCAAGCAAGAAAGATTTCTGCTCTATTTATTTGATAGATCCAGGGGTTTGTGCCCCCCCCACTCCGTCTGCTTCTCTAGACGCTTGCCTCTTCCTTCCCCACCTCCTTCTGTTTCTCAACTTTCTATTATTTCTTTCTGTATTATAGTTGCTGTTAGGTGTCGGGGAGGGGAAAAGATAATTTCTAATGTTTCCTGGTTCAAAGAGAAAACACTATTTGGTGTAAGGTGTGAAAAAGTGTGCAGCCTGGAGCGGATCTGAGCGGAGAGCGAGGAAGGTGCCTACATGCTAAGGGACAGAGACCAGAGCCATCATGCCGTGAACTCCTGCACAAGCAAAGCTGAACTGGTGGCTGCTGAATCCTTATTAAAGTATCTGGATTCCAAAAGAGAAAAAACCCACAATTAAAAAGGATCAGAGTAGCAAATAAGCCTATTCCAGAGACCTATTACTCTTATGAGAGGCTCTAATGATCCAAGCCCTTTGCAGGAGGCAGAGGAGCTGGGGGCTGTGCACCCAGCAAACACCACTGCTTCTCCCCACCACGCTGCAGACAGTGCAGGATGCTCTCAAAGGCTGCCGTGGCCAGCAGCACTGCGCCAGGCTCTGCTTGGGAAGCCCTTCTTCTCCAGTGCTAAAGTAACTGACCTGCCACTTTAGCAAATGCCATTTTTTTCTAGCCATTTCAGGTAAAAACGGTGACTTTTCTTCTGGTGTGATTCAATGTCATTAAAAAGCTGTATGTTCACCCAGCTTTGCATAAATAGGCTTATGCCAGCAGCAGAGTTGAACCTGATCCAATTCTTCCACACCTACTGCCCAGGTCAGCAGTGACTTAAAGCCTCCTAAATTTGTGTGCAAAACATTGCAAGAAAATTAATTCTGAAGAAGACCAGATTATCTCAAAGACTAGGCAGTCTGGCAACACATCCAACTTCATCATGCATTTTAGTGCATAAATGTTTCATTGAGGCAAGTGCTGAGTCTGATATGAATTTTATTTATAGCCCTGAACATCTCAAATATATGCTTCCCCCAAGTGCTCGAGTCTCCACTGTAACACCCAGGGGG